TCTGGATAGTTTCTGTGGAAGAATGTTCGAGCTTAATGCAAAATTTGATACCGATTCATTGCTTTATTTGCTCAGTTACTTGAGTGTGACGGCCGTAGAGCACACATGCTCATTCAACAGCACCCACTGCCCCCACTGACTAGTGCAGTGAAGTCGTCATTGTTCACGCGTGTGCATTCCAGTCCTCTCTCCTTGGCTGCCTGGTCACATTGATGCCACGCAAACAGTTCTCATTATATTAACAATGGCTGGACTTTTTCCAGACAGACCTTGTATATATTCCCCCAAAAAGTGAAACAGGAATTCAAGACTCAAAGGATACCCTTTCCTCTATATACTTCTTCTTTAATTGGTACCATTAAATACCTGCCTTTTACATAGAAGTAATCTATAAATGAGACTTGTTAAAAATACTACCACTGTATTTTAAAAAACACACTTTATTTTTCTAATTTGGAGAATACGGAAATTATGTTTGGACTTGAGTGCATTTTCCTGGATTTTACCTTGAAGTTATTATTGATGGAAAAACAATAATGATGCTATATAATAGAAAAACACATTATATCATTTAAAAACTGGGGTTCTAGTTCCAGCTTTTCCACTTATTTGCTGCCTGACTTGGAGAAAGTCAGATAACTTATCTGGATTTGATTTCCATTCATGAGACTGAAAAGCCTGAACCAAATGTAATCTAAAGTTTCTTCTTGCCCTTTATTATTTATTAGTACTTTATTATTTATTTGAAGGCTTTAAAAGACTATAGTGTTCAGTGCATTGCTGAGCATTTCAAGTAAAGGTGGCTAGCACCAATTATTTCAGGGAGTAAAACATGGGCCTTATTTAAATAAGTCCAGTACACTGCATGCCACCGTGTGGAGTTCTCAGAGCTTCTAAGGGGTTTATATAGGGAAGCTATAAAGGTGAGATGATAAAATAGGAAACTGAAGCCTGCGATACATAAATAAAAATACATAAGAATTAATATTGTTTGTTCAAAAGAAATACAAGAAACGGCCTAAGATGTTTGTAAAAAATTTTCCATTTGTTCAACCAATGTTTATAGCCTACTGCGTGCCAGCTGCCATTCTTATCAAGGATCCTTGAATGACATATTGCTGGAATAAGCTGCAGCAAATGCTTTTTTTTTAGGAAGTAACAGTTTCCACCAGGGTAAGATGAACCAGACTGGGTCAGGCCGGGTGCTTGGGAGTTACCGTGTAGTCCTTTGACATGACAGTCCCTCGCATTTCAGATGATTTAGGAAACATCCTGCCTAATGGCCGTGTTTCCTAAGTACTCTTTGTTGTATCCTCCCTGACTGAATCCCTGGTTTCTTTTCCACTCTTGCTGGCTTTGTCACCAAAAAGCGGGGCATAAGGCTTTCACTGTATGCTCCGTTCCCTCCCAATTAATAGATGCCAGGGACTGATGAGGGGTGATGAGGATGTCAGCATGCTAGAATTTAGGTAGAATAGGATTTGAGCCTTCCCCAAGTTACAGTTTCTCTGTGTAGTGTCATTAAAAGCCACTGGTTCCCAAAATAACCACTTTTAAACATAAGTGTCAAAATAGTACATGCTGCAAAGCTAACTGTGGTCTGGGTTCTAAGATGTCCCAATGATGAATCAGCCTTCTCCTTACGGTAGCCTCTGTACCCCTTGATTCGGCTCCAGGGCACCCTCCACCACGTTGCCTGTAATTCAGTGTGGCAGGGAATAGTGAGTGCTATGGCGTAGCTCATGATGGAGAAGTGATTTTGAGGTGGCCCATTGTTTAAATTCTTTTGCCTGTTCTTTCATGATTTAGATAAATAAGAGTTATTTATGGTTTTAGTTTTTTTTCTCTTTTACACTTTCATGAAAGTGAGAACAGTGCAATAACACTATTACATTTATTTATCTATTATTGCAAAAGCAAAACTGCACAGCATGTTTATATAATTTACTTTATGCTATCATAATCAGCTGTCGATTTATAGACCTTAATGAACGTAGGCCTCAAAATACACTGTCTTACCTATAGTAAGATCTTACCCATATCTTATTATATAGGAAATATGCTGTCTTACCCATAGTATTAAGCTACAAGTATCTTTTATCTTTACTAAAGCATCCTACTTAGACTTAATTTGATGTAAGGCTTCTTAAATTTGAAATAACGTACAATTTACTCTAATAAAGCAGCCATTTACTGTTTCATGAATGGGAGGGAAACTGTCTAAAACCTTCCAGTTCAGCGCGGTTTGTGGCCCCGCAGCATGTGCCTCCCCTGGGAGACCGTTGGAAATGCAGACCGCCAGTCTCCTCCCCCTGCCTCTTGAGTCAGAGCCTGCATTTGGACCAGAAACCCCAGGTAATTCATGCAGATTTTAGGTTTGAGAAGCACTGGACTTAAATTTATAAAGAACACTGTGTCCAGGTGAGATTGGTTTGAAGCTGGCGGCAGAATAAGTAGTTCATTGTAAATCATATTTACCTTTGATGTGGAGAAAAGAGAAACCCAAGTATGAATGACTTGTGTGAAAATATATATAAAAAAGGATGAAGTATGAAAATTTATATGAAGCCTGAGAAGTTAGAAATATGGGCAAGAAATAAGATTAAAAAATCATCCCAGAAAGTGCAAACTAAATGTGTGTGCACAAAGTATACTGTAATATGTAGTATTTGAGGAATTCGAACATGAACGCATCTTGGTACACGTGTACATGTGACGTGGGGAGACAGTTGACAGAAAGCCGGGATTTAATCAGTGATAGATGGCGGTGGTCACTTTCCCACTACCGATTTGACTTGTTAGAGATTTTCTTAAAGGCGGCCAAGCCTAGTTGTGGCTGGTGTGCCTCTCACACAGTAAGTGACACTGTTTGCTAGACAGATCAAGATAAACTGGAGAGTGTTAAGAGATGGGCTCGAAGATTGATTATGGTGTAGGGAGAACTGATTTATGAGGAAAGAGAAAAATAATTAGATGGGCAGCACTATGCTATAAAAAGAGTCTATGGAGACATGGATATTTATCTAATGCTTCTCCAGTGCCGTTTCCTGTAGTATCCATATGAAAGATGCAGAAACATTAGGATGTAAGAAATTTGTTATAAAGCAAAGCATATCAGCTGGAATTAGTCTGTTACATTAGGAGCACTATTAAAGATTAATTTTAGAAACTTTTACCTGGTGCCTGAGAAATTACCTTGAGTGGGATGACTGTATCCCCAACAACTTCTGAAAGGTCTGTGGGCAAAGAATGGAAAACCACGTATTAAGTTGTTGAATTATCTTCCCAGGGAAATGGTTGGAACCCCATCCCCTGATCCTTCTAAAATGTTGTGGAGAAAAACCAGGATGTTGCCTCTGAGAATTCTCCACTTGTGGCAGAGAACTGGGCATTGATGAGTGACATTTTTCTTCTGCAGCCTCTTTGATTATTGCCAGTGTTACCATACCCAGATATATTTTTCATGAGGTTTCTAACTATTTAAATTAAAAATGCCAGTTTCTAGACCAAAAGCTAGGGAGCGTCACTCATCTGCCCTCCACGTCTGCCCCCTTGTCAGTGGCTGGCTACCTGTACCTGGTGACGCTTTCCTGTCACTTCTCCAAACCGTGTAATTCATTAAAAGATGCGATTCAGTGTGTATTGGAAGTGGATTCATTTCCTACCGTTTCTTCATTCAGAAAGCTGAAACGATAAGCCCTAAATATGTGTTGCCTTTGGAGCTATTTGTCAAATGGATACAGAAACTCTGAAAGTCTGAATCATCTCGTGCTTCACAGGGCTTAGTGATTCTTTCTTTTCCCCAGGACAGAAAGTAAGCAAAATAAAATAAAATAAAATTATTTGGTGTTCTAATTCATTACTTTCCTTTTTCATGCCATTTATTCAAATCCGCATTTATATTGCGAGGAGATGCAGTTTAATATAGGTACTGCTAAGAATGGTTCGTATCAAATATATTGACCTGAAATATTTACTAGATATACTTCTTTATGCTAGTGTAGGCCAGTTTGCCAAACTTAAATATTAAGTCACATTAGTTAAGTCATTTCAGGTTTTCCAAAACATGAATGAGTTTTTTTGTTGATGATATTTTAAAATTGTTCAGTTTTGTTATTTACAACTTAGTGCGTCTACTTTTGTCTAAGAAATTCTCTTTATCTGTAGACAGAAGTTGTTATTCCTTTTCTTCCTGAAAGAGATCTAGACCTAAACAAAAAGGTTTGGATTACAGTCTGCTATTTTATTCATAGTACAAAGATAATCTTGTTTATATCCTCTTTTCTGCGAAAAAGGCTCTAACAAATTGTCAGTGTCTTATGTGGGCACATAACAACTGTCTGGAAGATGAAAACTAATTGAGAAAAAAATTAAATTGATAGATTGCAATCTTTCTTTTTCTTCTTGTGCTTCCTGACTGATATACCTACCAAACGGGCAAGGGAAAAAAGTCCTTTTCCTTTCTAAATCATTCTACTAGTGTCATATTGATTTTCTCTCAAGTACACCCTGTGGTCTCAGATGATCACATATTTTCTTACGTTACTTGTATTGATACAGCACCTTGACTCAGGGGTTGACACTTTGCTTGAGCTGTGATGACACCGCTTACCTTTGACGTTTCCTGGGGGTAGGGCGTGCCAGGCCTCTTATGCATGAAGCCTAAGGGAAAAAACAGGCTGTTTCACAACAGTATTTTTGTCCTTCGAAAAGCGATTATTGTTCACTCTAAGTGACACCTTAAGGTCCCCATTATTGTTGCTCAACATTGCTTCTAACACCTACAACAATGTCTTGAGTTCTTTTATGTTCTTTTTCTAAAATCTTTTTCGCTGGTGAAGGAAAAAACACCCTCAACAGGTATCCAAGTATGATTTGTAAGAAAAGAAGTGCTTTATTAAGTGTCTGAAAGAATACGCAGTGACCTGCCTACTTGCCGTGGCGCAGGCTCTCCTCCTTCCCGTTGCATTGTCCTCTCATCTCGCCTCCCTCTGTTTCAGCTAGCCGTGAGGTGGTTGGAGCACAACTGCCATTACCAGCACATGGACGAGCTTCTGCAGTACATCCGCTTCGGCCTGATGGATGTGGACACTCTCCACACAGTTGCCCTGTCCCACCCTCTCGTCCAGGCAAGCGAGACTGCAACAGCTCTTGTCAACGAGGCCCTGGAGTACCACCAGAGCATCTACGCACAGCCCGTGTGGCAGACTCGCAGGACCAAACCCAGGTTCCAGTCAGATACTCTGTATATCATCGGTGGGAAAAAGCGTGAGGTCTGTAAAGTCAGGGAACTTCGCTACTTCAATCCTGTGGATCAGGAGAACGCTCTCATCGCTGCCATTGCCAACTGGAGTGAGCTGGCCCCCATGCCCATAGGCAGGAGCCACCACTGTGTGGCAGTCATGGGGGACTTCCTGTTTGTGGCAGGAGGCGAAGTGGAGCATGCCAGCGGCCGGACATGTGCTGTGAGGACTGCCTGTCGCTACGACCCCCGCAGTAATTCCTGGGCAGAGATAGCACCGATGAAAAACTGCCGGGAGCATTTTGTGCTGGGCGCCATGGATGAATACCTCTACGCAGTGGGGGGCAGAAATGAACTGCGCCAGGTTCTGCCTACAGTTGAGCGGTATTGCCCCAAGAAGAACAAATGGACTTTTGTGCAGTCCTTTGACCGATCCCTTTCGTGTCACGCCGGCTCTGTGGCGGATGGTCTGCTTTGGATATCAGGTAGAAAATGCCTTGTGTTGGATTTATCCAAAAAAACCCCATCATTTTAAATTCGTGAGACAAATTTAAAAGGCAGGCTTTGGTAGTGTGGCCATGAGTAACTGAATGAATGAATGAGCCAAGGCTGCCATTTTAGCTAATTAACATTAATTTATTGAGCACCTACTCTATATAGAACAATGTAATGGAAAGTAATTGAGCTTTCTGTGACTTCCTGAGTGATGAGTGGAGTAGGAATTGAAGATGGAAATTAACGGCCCATCACACCTCTTCTTTGGCCATACCTGTTGTTAGGTTGTCGGCTTTTGATGTTCAAGGATTGTATTGCATGCCAGTGGTTTATCACAGCTCTTTGCTTTTACCTTTACCCTGGGCTGCCTGACAAGGAGTCTTCATCAAAGTCAAGGCAGGTGAAATAAGAGCCCAGTAAATCCATTTTAATAGGTATAGCGATGGGTGTATATCCAGGTAAGAGGATTGCTGTGCACTGATAGAAGGGATTTAAACTATTGACTAAAATAATATTTTGTGTATCTGTGTCGTGACTCATGCCATCCTAATCCTTCCTTCCTACTAAGGCGTCTGTTCGTCCTGATCATGGACGTCCTGATCATTTTTTTTTTTTTTTTGGCGGGGGAGCCTTTGATGACAGAAAAAGTAGAGAGACTAGTGTAAGGAACTCCGCGTGCCCCTCGCCCGAGCTCCAGCAGTCCCTGCCCTGCTGCCAGCTGTGTCTCACCCAGCCCCAAGCGCTTCTTCAAACCCCGTGCGGCTCCCTTTTCACTTGTGCAGACGAGTCTCTGAGGCATATGTATTAACATCCCATCATCCACCTGTGTGTGCAGTTTTATTATCGGAAAGACCTAAAATGCTCTCCTTTAAAAAGGTTTGCCTATTGGAGAAGAAAGCTGCATCTTCTCTTAGTTGGAAGATACTGATTTTGTGACTCAAATAAAACTTGTTGAATTTCCACATCAAGGACAAAGAATAGAATCAGATAAATGCTGTATGCCCTCAATTAACATCATCTATATTTTCTGTGACTTTAAGCAAAATGATGTATAAGGAAAACGATTTTACCACAGGCTAATTGACATAAACATGTCATTAACATTCTAACAAAATGACATTATTTGAGGACCTGCTGTACTAAGAGTAACTCAGATGCCTGTACATAGAAGAAGCAGTCACTTTTAAGTACACCTGGGAAGGCTTCCCAGCTTCCTTCAGCAATCTTCCCTAGTAGTGTAACTTCTGCTCCAACAACATCCTCCCTTGCATTTAAACCCAATTTGTTTGCACTCTGCTCATTTTACCCTTCTGCTGTCCTCAGTAACCAGGGAGAAAGCCACAGTCTTCCTTTTTCTGGGTAGTACTTCAATTATTGGCAATTTATTGATTTTCATTGAAGACCCAAGCTCATGTGAGGCCTTAAGTGCTTGAATGACTGAGGCTGGGATTAAGACTAAGGAAGGGGACCCAACCATTACTGATCCCATATGCCAAGTAAAGCATTAGATGTAAGTGTATATGTTGGTTTATATAGGTATATTTAAATGAAACTTCATCTGGTGACTTATTCTCTTCTATTTCAATAGTTAAGAAAATAATCACCAGGACTATATCCCTTTAGTTTTGCTGAAAAAACTTCAAATCTGACTAAAAATAAGTCTTTGCTAATAGAAGGAACAGATCTCTACTTGACTTGGATAACAAAACAATGATGGATTTGTGAACTCAATGCAATTCATATTTTCTTCCAGTGTATATTCCTTCCATTGACTCACTTGGTTTTCATACATCATTAATGTACTACATTCTTACACTACCAACATTTTCTAAATGTTGTATGAAATTCTCATAAATATTTCTTATTTTTTGGCTATAAAACTCGATTTTTAAAAACTGCTGGTGTTTCCCTTACATAGTCTTAAAAATACGACTACTTAATACCTTCTTTAGCGAGGCCTTGAGAAAGCACGGAAGCTTATCTTAAACTGGCTAGATCTATCATTCTGGTACCAAGCAGACTTCCCTTTCAGTGTGGCCTCCATATTTCCTCTTCCATTTTAGTAAATGTATCAACTTATTACAGATCTTATTGCTATATCACTTTGTTTTCTCCCTACTGTGAAAGGAAATACATTGTCTTTGTTCTTCTTCTGCACTAATGTATGCTGCATGTGTTAACCATACTTAATGGAAACAATCACTATTTCCTCAGGTTTGTTTCTCCCTCCTGTGTACTTGAGATGAAAAGCTACCCTCCCTGTGCACAGTACAATACCTTCAATTGGAAAGAGGAGGAAACCACCAGTGACACTGCTAATACCTTCAGTCGTCCGCCTCTTTCCTTAAGCCTGGCTTATAATAAATCAATTGTGAATCTAACCATGGATAGGAAGGGGTGACTAGATTTGCTAATGGCCCCTTAAAAAAAACACAAGTATATTTCACCCTGACTATCACTGATTTTGAAGTGTAACTCTGATTTATTGGAGCAGATGAAACTGTTTGAGGCTATTCCTTATCCTTTGCCAAATAATCAAGTATTTACAATTTAATTGATGGGGGATTGGGTCATTGGCATTCTTCTGGTATTTTTGCAAGCTTTGCCTGAGGTAGAGGAAGTAAGGATTATAGAATGTGGATTTTAGGCCTCATTTTTTGTGCTGCAGAGCACAGAATGAATGTTCCTTTAGAGACTCATAATTTCCAGTGTGCTCAATCTCTCCACAAACCCTCTTCCCTTGCTCTGGCCATTTTGGGGTCAGGACACCTTGAAAACCTTTCCATGGTTTTTAAAATGAGACAAGCAGAGATGAATTCAGAAAATCGGGCTGTACGGATGTGCCCACTAGCATTTGATTTAGGATATTAGTGAAAGTCATATTTTACAGGCTCCTGTGGTATTTGACATTGTGACCCAATTCACAAATGATCCACATCGTTTCTACTTGAAATTCACAATAACGAGATAGAATAAGCATTAAACATCCTCCAGTTGTGCTTTAAAAGGTATGCTCTCTTTTGTAAGGTAGTGTTTGTGAAGTACTACAAAGATCCTTTTTCTGTGAATGAAAATTAATCCTGAGTGTATCTTGCAGAACAACTTACCTTTTCACTTTTGTCAAAAAGCAGCAGGATAATGGGAAGCTAACCACAAAATTAGTGCTTTAAAACTATAAACATAAGAGAAACGTCACTGCATTTACCCCAAAGCAGCATTTAGTGCTTTCTTGATTCTTTGGTGAATGCTGCATTCTTAGTAAGTCTCGTGCTGGTTCACAGAGAAATAAGATTAATTCTGCAAACATCCTCCCTGCCCTCTAGGAGCTGACAATCAAAGATTTTTGCAGATATTTCATTAATGAAAGAACATTTGTTAAAGCTGCTCTAACTCCCTAGAAGATATGTTTATTTTTGTCTTGATTAAATTTAGATGAAGCTTGCATTGCCCTATTTTAAGTAACTTTAATTTATTCAAACCTTCTAAAGGGATGTTGGCTTTTCTAATATTCATTAAAATTAGAACAATGTAAAATTTCATTAATGTTTTTAAATGCCATTGCTTTAGCTTTATCTGTGCAAAATACGGTACTTACCTCTTTAAAATGATATACAAAATATTGGGAACCAACAGGGGACATGGCAAAGGTTGAATTGTGGTCACAGACTAAGTCACATATACATGAAACTTGCTCCACTTCTTACCAACCGGGAGATGCTGAGCGAGATTCCCAAGTTCATGAAGTGTTGTTCCCGGCTAGTGCTAGAGGGATGGAGTGGGGTAAGACATAGGTCTTACGCTGGGGTTCTTGGTGTAGTAAAGGGAACAGACTCTTAAACAGATAATTACAGTACAGCACATGCTGTGTGACGATGGAAGCGTTTCCTGGGTACAGAAATAGTACAAAGCAGGGAGCAATTAGTGCAAAGGATGCAGGAGATTTTAAAAACGTTTGTAGCACCTTTAGCCTAACCCGGCTTCTGGTCCATTGGCTACTTCCTACTTACCAACTAACCCTCCCATGCTTTTGCTTGGGATCCATGGTCCAATCATTTCAATAACTCTTGCCCTCTACTATGCGCACAGTGTTGGACACGCCTGTGGTCCCCCTGCCTGTGTCTGTGCCTGGGCCGCTGAGCCCTGGGGGGAGAGGCCAGTTGACAGGAGGGCTGCTGCGGCCGCACACTCAGCTCCCCAAGACCTCTCTCCCCGCTGACCACCAGTGTCCTCACTTTCCTCAAACTCCCCGCCCCTCAGACACAGACCCTGCCTGCTCTGTTTCTCAGAGCAAAGGTAAGTGAGGAGGTTCTCACGGCAAATCCAGTGAGCAACTCCTGTGAGGCGGTGGAGAGTGTGAGGAGGCAGATGGGCAAGAGATGGTCTGGAAAGGGGTCGAAGGCAGAAGGTTGGGAAACACCACAGAGGAGGACGCGGAGGAGGGGGCACTGAGGAGGAGCCTGAGCACGTGGCATGGCAGGGCCAGAGGAGGAGGAATGCCACAGAAGCAAAGCCACAGCTGAAGGGCGCGGCGAGAGGCGTCCAGTACTACAGGAAAGCCAAGGTCTAACGGCGGGGTCCAGGCTGCCGCACGGGGACCACATGCGGCCCAGGACGGCTCTGAGTGCGGCCCCACACAAAATCGTAAATTCACCTAAACCATCAGGAGATTTTTTGTGTGATTATGTGTCGCAGTGTATTTAATGTGTGGCCCAAGACAACTCTCCTTCTTTCAGTGTGGCCCAGAGATGCCAAAAGGTTGGACACCCCTGGAACCTTTCCTCTATATTTTTTCAATCACGAACTGTTACTTGGTAATTTCAGTGAAAGCCATTTCCGGGGAATGGAACAGGTGGAAGTCAGAATGCGGGGACTGAAGGTGTGAGTGGAAAGAGAGGCGTGAAGACTGCAGGTGCGGGCTGCATTTGCAAGAGGCTGGGATATCCTCTCAGCTTCACGGCCCGGATCTGAGCGCAGCCTCCTGATCGTCAGG